GTTCCAGCTACCTGGAAGGCTGAGGCGGAAGGATCGCCGGAGTCCAGCAGGTCGAGGCTGCGGTGGCCGGGAGCGGCCACTGCACTCCAGTCTGGGCGACAGTGAGACTCCAACTCAAAAAAAAAAAAAAAGAGTCACATGGAAGAAGAAATTAGATTAAGATATTCATCCAACAAATATTTTTTATTATGCATCTTCTCTGTGGAATACACTAAAGCAGGGGATGGATTTACAGTAAATTGAATAGTTTTGCCCTAACAGAGCTGGTAATCTATTAGAGGAGAGCTTTATAATGCCTTATCCATATTCAACACATGATAGTTGTGTTAATTTGATCTTCATGAAAACCTTGTAAGGTTAACCAAACAGATGCCTTCATCTCCACTTTAGATTAAGTGACTTATCCAAAATCACACAGCCAATAAGCAACAGCACCCAAGGATTCAGGACGTCTGACTTCTAGTCCAGTGTTTGCTCCTTCCAGGATACCACATTCATTTTGTTTTCTCTTTCTTTGGTGCTTTAGGACAATCAACTAAAGCTTAAACTCTACGGAGGCAAAAAGAAGGTAAGAATTATAGAAGGGGACATAATTGCTTCCAACGGACTCCTGCACATCCTCGACAGAGCCTTGGACAGGATAGCACCCACATTTGAAAGCAACACTGAGGTGAGATATTCAGGTGAACATGATGTCAACCCAAATCCATCCTCCTTTGTTTCTTGAAGAGTCACATCCAAGAAAAGAGTATATGCCAGCACCCTGTGCTTGTCCTTCCTTTGTACTAGGATCTCAAGCAGAGAGAAGATGGGGTGATTTGTCTGTTTTCAGTAGAATTCTGAGTATCTCTGCAGAAAGAAAGAAAGGCATATGATACAGTTGGTGTGTATGGGAAAGATCTGAATTTTTCAACCTCTTTTATGACCACATTTTACAACTCAGCCCAGTGACCAATTGTCGTGCAAGCTTATTGTCATGAAAACTGCCCTTTATGGATGAGGGTAGTTGTGGCTGCAATGAAATGTAATTCCTCCAACCTATTGATGAACACCAAATCCTACTTCAGAACATGCAAGTCTGAACTACTGTTTGAATAACAGCAAACATTCATAAAATGCATTGCAGTTGACTAGATTCTTTTACATAAAGAACTTATGCATAAACTCTGTTATCAGTCTTTAATGTTAGGATTTAACCGTCTTACTTTTTATTGATTTTTAAACAAAATGTTTCTTTTTAGCAAACCATAATGGCAATGCTACAACCAAGATATAGCAAGTTCAGATCTCTGCTAGAGGTATGTGCTTTTCAGGAACTTCTGAAAATTGCTTGTATCATGACCTTTGTAAAATCAGCAGGGTGTCCATTAAAAATACTTTCTTCAAATATCTGTCCAGCATAGGTTGTAGAAACAAAATTTTATTTCTCAAATGCAGGAAACCAATGTGGGACATGCTTTAGATGAAGATGGGGTTGGTGGACCATATACCATTTTTGTTCCAAGTAATGAGGCATTGAATAACATGAAGGACGGCACTCTCGATTACCTTCTTTCTCCAGAGGTACAGTACTCCATTTACTCTGATAGCATCAAAGTCAGCATCACTGCCTCCACTGGTGTCTGTACAGGCTTTTTCTAAACTAGGCATTGCAAATAAGCAGCATCTGTCTCACCACATACGCTTCCACTATCAAGGCAGACATCACTAATCAATTACAACTAGTCAATCTGAAACTAAGCATGGATGTGGCTTCATACTCTTCAATAGAGTTCCCAGTAGCTATGATCAGTCAATTAGACTTGGCACAGGCAAGAAAATCTATTTGCAACCTTAGGTCTAAATGATTAGTTTGATTTGTCCTAGCTCTTCTAATATTTCGTAGTGGTCAAACCAATATTTCATGTTTCCTGTTACTCTAAAACCACCTAGAGAATAAAGCCTCAATTAGGCCATCCATGGCCAGGCCCAGGCTAAAGTTTAAAAGGAATAAATGTTATTTATAGATGCTCTGGCCTTTCTTTTCATTGCTTTCATCTCTTTCCACAATAACCCTTTTCTTATAGACCATGGGCCTTTCATTCTCTCACATTCCCCTCTAAAAAGAGTATTGGTTCCTTCACACCAGAGTATAAATGACTAAAAGAATTTAAAGTGTTTCCTTTCCCCCAAAATAGCAGCTTTAACCTGAAGAGGAGAATAGCTACTTATGGGATTTTGTTCATTAGAATGTCAAATGGTGGAGTTACATGAAGGACCACAAGTTTTCTTCCAATGCCCTGAAATCATGCCACTATCTTGGCAGTGACTTCATATAGATTGGTGGTGATTATACAGAACTGGCAGAGAAGGGGATGCCATATGTGGTGGGCTAGGTAGGCCAGAGTTGTGGGGGTGGAAGTATTCACCAAGACAGTTATGAATTAAGAAAGGTAGATTTATTAAAGGGAAGATACGTTGTGAGCAGCTCAATGAGCAGGACAACAGTGAGAGCAACTGTTTGCGATCTGCTGTCTGCAAAGAAGCCAGGACTAAATAGCAGCATTTATTCTACTGTGCTGGAATTCAGGGTAGACCAGGGGATTTGTCTGTGGGGCATGGAGAAGTTTTGCAAATTGACTGCATACGTTGGCGGATGTTTGTAAACTGGCTGATTGATTGTACAGTTTTGTCTCTTTAACAGCAATAATTGACTGCCTTTTTTGTCTGTTCTGGAACCAGGAACCAACAGTGAGTTGTTAACTCCTTTTTTGGTTGACTGAAGAACCAACAGCAAATGTTTTTCAGCTGGCTATCCAGCATTTACAATTCTTGTCATTATTTCATTCTGAGATTTCCTTCCTCAATATAATTTACCCAGTTTTCCCAATTGATGCTTGCCTAATCAGGCCTCATGCTCCTCCCAGGAGAGATGTCCAACTCTTTAGAATAGTGATTCCCAAACTTCAGTGTGGTCAGGAGTCATCCACGAAGCTTGTTAAACAGGCAGATTCCAAAGCATTCTGATTTAGCAGTACAGGGATGAGGCCTGGAAACAGACATGCTGGTAATCACCAACTTCCTAACTCAGGTGGTCCCAGTCTACACTGTTTTGGGGATCCTGAAACTTGTTGACCATTTGGTTTAGGGGTTTACACAAATACACCACTTTCTAGAATACTTTTAGGTATCCACAAGAATATCTGGCTTTCAAAAAATTTGGGATTTAAAAAAAAGTATCAAGGAGGTAAATCAGAAGGTAATCTCTTACACTATCAACAGATGTTCAACATTTGAAAAGATTTGCTACAGGTTTCCATAGAAAATGCCAGACCTCCCAGAGTCTTCCAAAATAGGATGTTATTTTAAAAATATGAATCATACTCAGATTTTCTAAAACCTAGCTATTGCAGAAAAACCCTTTAGAACTCACATTCATTCTTAAAGCGAGCTTAAAAAGTAATGTTTTGCCCCCACTGGGAAATTATTACAATTCCTGAGTGTGTAACTTCCAATATGATACAGATTTGTTAAAAATAAAAATAATAAAGCAGCTCGCAGCTCTCAGGCACCAATCAAGTACACTTAAAATGAGAATAAACCCTTTTAACTAAAATAGGACATAAAAAATCAACCTCCCTGCTATTTGACAGGCACCTTTGTTCAGAAAACTATATTCTTTCTCTTCCCTTGCAACTGCTTCTAATGGGGACTGGAGACGCTGCGTTCAGGCTCTCAAAAGTAGACTGTGTGTATCTCCTCCCAACTCTGTTCAATGGAGTCACATTGGTAGCTTGAAGCTAGCCTTTGGTAAGAATATTTACACCATAGAACCTGGTCAATGCATGCTAATGCTCCTGGCTCTGTCTTGTTTCCCTCAAAGGCGCTATCTTTCTGCCTATAAAGAATATAAAACTTCAGGTCTCTTTGTTCTGAGTTACAAATGGCTTTTACACTTCGATTTATAGGTGAGAAGTAGAACAATCATTTCTGCCTCTTTCTCAGACACCACAGCCTGTGCAAGTCAAAATTTCTCAGTTTCCCATAAGAAGTTCCTCTCTCTCCATTCTTGGTAGTATTCTTTAGGTTTATCTTCAGGGGAAAACTTCAACTGAAAACACGAGAGTCCCCTTCAGCTACGCCAATGAAATGGAAAATATACCAGTTTCATTAGAAAGGTTTTTGGTTCTGGTGTAGGGATTCTGTTTCTCTTCCAGTCTGGCTTTCTGCTTCTCCCTGAAGCAAAATTTCAGTCTAGAAACCATCCCATCCCCTCAGAGACCACAGCTTCTGATTACAAGCCTCAGTTTATGGCTTTCATCACTGAACTAGACAGAAAGCAAAGCAAGCAGCGCAAGAGACTTGCCCTTGCCAATTCAGATACCTTGCAAGTACAATGAGAAAAGGCAGGTGAATTTATAGAGTTCAAGGTCAGATGAACAATGTTGTAGACAATCTCTCTCTTTCTGCCTCTGGCACAAGGGACTTGGGAAATTTTTTTAACCTAAAACAGCAGGGAGGAAATTAAGTGTCCCCATAAAGGAAAGCTCATACACCAAGGGCTGTTCAATAATTGCAGCACCTGGGGGACATGTCCTGTCACTCTGACCCTACTGGAGTGAATTCCAACTGAACCATGGCACCCACACCCCGTAACCAGAGAAGGCAGGCACACGCAGTGATGGGGGTGACGCTGATCAGTTCCTTTGTCTCTATCATTCTCCTGTTTCTTGTTAAAAGAATTCAGCACCAGTGAATTATCGAGGCTTTGGAAGTGGATCGATAGGTGATCAATGCTAGCCTATAGAATCAAAGGGCCAGAAGGGTTCCATACCAGGCCTTTTACTTTACAGGTGAAACAGACTCAGGGACTCAGTGGCTTGCTCAGGGTCACACACAAGCAGAACTATGACTAGCACCCAGGTTCCTGAGGTCCAGATCAGTGCTCACCCCAGGACCCCTAACTCCTCTTTTTAATTTATTGGCACAAATGTTCACGAAGAGCCTACTGTGTGCCCCCTACTGCGCTAGCTGAGGATACAGTGATCAAAAAGCCAGACAGACCCAGCCCTTGCCATCCAGGAGTCAGATCCAGTTTGGACTACCATCTCCCAAGAGTCTCCACTTTGTCCCACCCCATCTGCCACTGAGCATCAGTGCATGTCATAATGTTACTTCTGCCTGCAAGTCTCCACTTCTGAATTCCATGGAGTAGCCCTAAGGGGAAACTGAGACCAAAGGCTAAATGACTTGCTCAAGGATACATCATAACAGTACCAGGGCTGCAGAAAGCATCACTTCCAGGGCTGGCTAACTGGTGATCGACTCCAGCATTCTCACTGATAACCCTGCCCTGGACACAATGCTACTGTCTTATAGATAGGGCAGCCATATAATTTATCCACCCCAGGACACTTCTGAGAGTGAACAGAGCTACCAGCCCAAGAGGGTTCCACGAGGGTTGTGCCAGACCAGCCAGGGTAGGGAGCTCGTTTGGTCGTACAGCGACCAAGTTTCAATGCAGAGAGGCTGGGTGAGGGGACCTCTGACTCAGTAGGGCTTTCTTTCAGCCTGGGACCTCTTGCTGTGAGAACATGTCCCGAGAGCAGGCAGCATCCTAGAGGTTATTAGGATCTTGATTTATGATCCTTCTCCTTCCCAAGCCAGAGGGACGACGTGCCACTTAAGTAGCAGAATTTGAGGGCTGTGAAGCATGTAACTCCAGCAGGGAGATTATGGGTCATTTATTTTTCTACCCAGCCACTGCCTGCTTTCCCCAAAGACAGAGATCTCCTCACTCCTCCGCTCTGTCACTCCCCTCCATGGCACCCTGCAGGGACTGCTCGTCCTGCCTATAGCCCCCTCTGTGGGGCCAGGACCCTCTTTTCCTCCTCTGCTGCTTCAGTTTTCTGGAGCATGAGAAACCTTGGAGATGGCTTTGAAAGAAAGGTGACCTTGTTGTGGGAGGCAATGGCGATCACGGTCCCTGAGGCTGTGCATTCCCAAGTGACCAGTGTGTTGTCTGACAAACATGTTTCTTTATGGAGCAAGTGAAGCAGAAACAAAAATCAAAGCTGTCTTAGACAATCCAGAACATGGCCTTAGACATTCAGAGAGGTGACGGGGCGACTGGCTGAGTGCCTGGGCTGATCCTTTGCTCATAGCCTGAATTCGTTGTGTGTGACCTTGGACATGTCTTTGAAATTCAGTATTATCACACATAAAATGGGTGATAACAGTTCCCACCTCACAGGGCTGCAAGGGGACTAAATGAGGTGTGCACATTATGTTTTAAGAATAGCCTCTTGCACAGAGTGGGAGTTCGGTGAGCGTTAGCTATCTTGAAAATGGGGTTTTTCTCACCCTGGATTTCCCAATAAAGAGATTATGGGTCATTTATTTTTCTTAATTAAGTGTTCAAAGTCATTAGAAGAGGCTCCCACAAGAGGGAGAATGTTGTGCTTTCTTCACTGGCTAAAGGAGCATTTTGGTTTCTTTGCAGGGATCTCGGAAGCTTCTGGAACTCGTCAGATACCACATTGTCCCGTTTACCCAGGTCGGTCTCACTTATCCTGCTACTGCTTTTTCCCTGGTTTCAAGATCTCTGACTCAGTCTTGAATTCCAATGTCTTGGTGCTAGAAAATGTGTGACATTTGTCTTTTAGCCCTGAGTGATCCCTCAGCCATGAATAATGAGTCCGTTATCAGAGAAGTCTTCAAAGCCTCAAAAACGTATAATACCAAAACACCCATTATCATGTTATGCCCTTTCCAGTGAGGACTTTAAGAACTCAGGGCCTGCATGTGGGCCAAATGCCTCTGTCTGTTGTCCCCTTCTCACTGCAGCTGGACGTGGCCACCCTCCTCTCCAGCCCTCGCATCAGGAGCATGGCGAACCAGGTCATCCAGTTCAACATCACCGACAGCGTAAGTGACAACTTGACCACTGTTGTCACCACCCACATGCATTTTTGCTCTGGTGATGACAACTCGTCATCAGGTTACCCTGTCTCTGCACTAACTCACGGGCTTCCCACCTTCGTGATTGTTTCATGCATTTGTTCCTTCTTTCAGCAAATATCTGCTGAGTAGCCACGCATTTGAAGGTCTACACTGGATGCTAGGCATAAAGCAGTGAAAAAGACTCATATCTTAGCAGGGAAAACCAACAAGGCGATCAGCTAATTCTCGAATAACTATTGTAATGAATGTCTCCAAGAGGAGGTTCAGGGTCTGTGAGAGTCCATGCCAGGAGGAGGCTGAGAAAGTCTGGAGCCAAGAAGGCCTCAGGGAGGAGGTGATGCCTTGGCCAGGCTTTGAAGTAGAATGAACTTTGAGTAGAGAACGCATAGCTCCAGGCAGAAAAGATAGCATCTGCAAAGACCCTGAGGTGGGAGGGAGCATGACCTGTTTAAAAAACTCAAAAGAAGACAGTGTTACTCTGGCTAGCTCTCTGGGGTTGCAATTTCAGCGAAAGTCTGGCAGCAGAGAGATGATGTCTCCTGTGGAATCACTGTTGATGTTGATGGTGATGATCTCATCCTTCCAACAGTTATCTATTGAGTGCCTACTGTGTGCCAGGCACCATTCTAGCTCCGCAAGACAGATCAATGAACAGACAGACAAAAGTCCCTGGTTGCATGGAACCTTCATTCTAGTAAATAGGGGTGTAGACAACAAGCCAGTTAAATGAGCAAATATGTCATATATTAGAGAGCAGTCAGTGCTAAGGAGCAAAGCAACAAAGCAGAGAAGGGAGACGGAAAGTGGGGATGGGGCCAACATCTCAGATAATTGCCCAGAAGTCCTCACGGGGAAGAAAACATCTAAGACCTGAGAAAATGGAGGAACAAGCCTTGTGAACATCAGGGGAAAGGGCATTCCAGAGAGAGGCAACAGTAACTGCAAACTCGCAGTGAGGTGCATGCCCGAGGGAACAAAAGGAAGAAGGGCAGGAGAGGAGGAAGCCGGGCTCGGTGGCTCAGCCTGTAATCCCACACCTTTAGGAGGCTGAGGTGAGTGGATTGCCTGAGCCCACGGGTTCGAGACCCGCCTGGGCAGGCAAGACCTCATCTTTACAATAAATCAAAAAATTAGCCGGGCGTGGTAGCGCGCACCTGTAATTCCGGCTACTCGGAAGGCTGAGGCGGAAGGATCACCGGAGCCCAGCGGGTCGAGGGTGCGGTGGCCGGGAGCTGCACTCCAGTCTGGGTGACAGAGTGAGACTCCAACTAGAAAAAAAAAAAAAGAAAGAGAGAGGAGGAGGAGAGGTGGGGTCCAGTCACATGTGGTCCAGGAAGTGGGGAAAGGACAAGAAAACGCCTCTTACTTTGAAGGAGATGGGCAGCAATTGGAGTATTTTGAGCAGAAAAATGACAGGATCAGCAACATGTTTTAGGAGACGGTTAGGGGATTCGGTTGCAGGAATTGGAGAATGATAGTGACACAGACCAGGGAGGTGGCAGGGATGTGGTGAGAAGTGGAATTCTGGGTGTGTTTTGCAAACAGACTCAGCAAAATTTGCTGATGGATTGGGTGGGGGTGAAGACAGAGGAATCCTGGGGTTCTGGCCTGAGCTGTCAGAAGAATGGAGTTGCCATTAATATCGCAGGGGGAGCAGAGCAGGTTTGGGGAGAAAGTGGAAACCAGACATCTTTGTTCGATGGTTCATTTTCTGCTCCCTCCACTAGGACATAAGCAGGAGCTTATCTGTTTATTCATTGATAAATCCCCAGTTCCTAAGGCAGCGCATAATTCAAGGTCAATACATGTATTTGAATGAATGGATCCCCATTTCACCCCAGAGAGATCAAACAATCTGCCCAAGGTCTCACAGCTGATGTATTATAGAGCTGGAATAGTTGTACCTTATCCTCAGCCCCACACCTGCGAGGACCCTTCTGCCAGGACAGCCCTGCCTGGTGTTAGTCCAGAATTCATTGAACAGATTCAGTCTTTCCCTGTCAGCCAAACCCTTCTAACGGCACCCTTCCCCCAGTGAAGTTAAGTGACCTTGAGAATTTTTTCAGTGAGGTTACTACCATTCAGGTCTGGGAATTGCTGGTACTCCTGCCATGCAGAATGAGGGATGTCATTGCTTCTTTCCAGGGACAGATTCTGGCAAATGATGTGGCAATGGAAGAAACTGAAGTCGCTGCCAAAAATGGCCGAATTTACACACTGTCTGGAGTTCTCATTCCTCCCTCTATTGTCCCAATACTGCCCCATCGATGTGATGAAACAAAGAGAGAATTAAAACTGGTAAGAAAAGTAGAAAAATCAGGCAACCCCCTCGGGTTCCCTCCCACTGTGGGAGCTTTTCTGTCTTCTCAATAAATCTTGCTTTCTAAAAAAAAAAAAAAAACAGAGAGAGTAGAAAAATAAACAAGAACCCCAAAACAGCTCCCCAGAGCAGACAACATCCCACTCCACACAACTCTGAGGAAGCTGATGAGGAAAGTTTTACCACAGGAGCCTCGACCCTGAAGGGCTTCTGTCTTCATCAAGACACAGGTGGGTCTGAGGTCCCATCTCACAAACTTGGAACCAAGGTAGACGCTGCCCAGGAATATTATCCTCCTAGGGCTGCCGCAACAAATTCCCCCCCTGGGAGTCTTCGTACAATAGTATCTTATTCTCTCACAGTTCTGGAAGCCAAATTCAAAAGCCAAGATGAGCATTGCTCCCTCCGAAGCCTCTGGGAAGGAATCCATCCTCGCCTCTTTCTGGCTTCTGGTAGTTCCCAACAGCCTTTGGTCTTCCTTGGCTGGAGTTGCGTCCTGTCTCTGTCTCCATCTTCCATGGCCTTCTGCCCTGATGTGTCTCTGTGTCTCTCCTCTCTTCGTAAGGATACAGCCATTAGATTTAGGGCCCACCCTGATTCAGCATGACCTCATCTTACCTTAACCAATTGCATCTGCATAGACCCCATTTCCAAATAAGATCACATTCTGAGGTTCCAGGGGGACAGCGTTTTTGGAGAGACACTATTTAACCCACTACTCCAGAGCTCCGGGATCAGATCAGGGTTTCTTTCCCTGGGATTTAAGATCGGTCTCCGACCTCTTCCTTCCCCTGCCCCAGGCCCATAGCCTTACTCCCTCTAAGAGGGGCTTAAAATAGAAGTTCTTCTCAGGGAGATGCTCTGGCCTAGCCAGTCACCATCTTTCTGCAGTCTCTTTTGAAAATCCGGCGATTTTTCCCATGAGTACCAGTACACTCTAATGGCCTTTCCCATTTCCATAGCAAATTTTTGGCTCAGCCAGTTTTAATCAAAGCACCCCCCAATTCCATTACTGCGGGGCATGCAATCGTTCAGTTCCCATGGAAACCATAAACCCCAATTGTAGCAATAACAGATCTGGGTCTTTCTTTTCCATATCCTTGGAACATGGGAATTGAATGAGGAAAAATGGCCCCATTTTATTCATTTGACTTTTGTTTGTTTTTTGATAACCTCTTCTTTCTGTGAAGGCTGGAAATAACTACTAAGCACCTGGCATAAGACTGTGGCGGGTTCTTTTGATTCCAGATGTTTTTGTTTTGTTTTTGAGTTGGAGTCTCACTCTGTCGCCCAGACTGGAATGCAGTGGCACACTGCTGGCCACCACAGCCTTGACCTGCTGGGATCCAGCCACCTTTCTGCCTCAGCCTTCCAAGTAGCCAGAACTACAGGTGCATGCTACCACGCCCGGCTAATTTTTGATTTATTATAGGGACGAGGTCTCGCCAAGTTGCCTGGGTGGGTCTCGAAGCCGAGGACACAGGCAATCCATTCGCCTCGGCCTCCCTAAGTACTGGGATTACAGGTTGAGTCACTGAGCCTGGCCCTGATTCCAGATGTTTTAATTGATGTGACGACTCTAGCATGTTGTGGGCTATTGAGGACTGGGCTAGTCCTCTGTGCCAGTCACATACCATCTGGGAGATTTGATACCATTCTGAGCACCCTCTTTAATAGAGACAGAAACGTAGTCATGTCTAGTCAGTCCTTGGCAGTGGCTTATGTTTGGTTCATTCTTTGGAAATCTTAAGCATCTGAAGGTGTGCCACCTGGCTTAGATGGAGGTGAGGACCAGAACATGCCAGAGAGGGTAGGCTCATCTGGTAGTCCAAAGATGAAAACAGAGGGAAAACAGGGCCTCTGCAGAACGGAGGAAGGGACTAACAGTCAACAATCAAATGAGCTTGAAAGCTTCCGACACTGGGCGGCTGCCATTGTGGTTCCTGGAAGGAGTTCTGCAGAGGGAGAGGGCACCCTAAGTGCCACCTTGGGGCAGGGTTGTTCTGTTTCTGACTATTCAAAAGCTTTTTCTTTTTCTCCACCTCTCGCAGGACAGACTCAAGATGTGGCTTTGAGCTGCAACCCAAAGAATTTGAGTTCCATGAGGGAAAAGACCTTCTCAATAGCTGCCTTAGAATAAACCCTTCCTGTGCTATTTTTCTCTAGGTTTAAAGTCCAATTTGTCTGCTCTGTGTGGTTTAGGACAGTTATGATTGAGTCCATTAAAAGTCTAAATACATTCTCTGTAAAGTATTTAGGACCAACAAAGAGTAGGAGCAGCAAGTTCCTTTTGGAAGTCTCAATTTTCACCAAGCTGAACCCATAGCTGCCCTTGGGCATGTAAGTTTGGATTTTAGAGGTCTGATAATACCATTTTGTATTAGCGAGGATCTCTGCAGGAGACAGAATTTATCCGTGATAGTCCAAATGAAGAGACTTTCATGAAGAAGCTCCTGCAGGGGTGTGGCCAGGGCTAAGGAAACCAACAAGTTATGCTGGAGTTTACAGGGAGAAGTGATGGCAAGAAACCATGGCCACTGAGGACGAAAGAGCCTGGGATCAGGGCCTGGAGACATTGAGCCCAGGAGAGCAGGAAGAGTGGAAGAGGTGACAGTCACCAGGAGCTGTAGGGATGGTGCCAAGGCAGAGAGGGTGCAGGGAAGAAATCCTTGGCCTCACTCTCCTACCTTCCACAAGCCTTCTGGTGACTCACACTGGACAAAATCAGCTGGACACAGGCAAGATGTCTTCCTACTGGGGCACAGAGCTAGTTGGAAAAGGTCAGAGAGCAAATCTGGAGAGACTGGAGACACGCCATTCTGTCCCTCCTGAATCAGAACCAGCGGAGGAGAGTCCTGGAGACTGAAAAGCAGAAGTTTCGTGTTCAGTCTTATTGCCGCTAAGCTAGTTGGAGAGCATTCTTAAGTCTGGGGCCAAAGTTAATACTCGGTCCCTGGCATAGGCGGACAACTGCAGTGTCCCCTAAGGTGCAGGTGTCTCCTTGCATGCAGAGCGTTGGTCAGAAGCCTGCGGCCTGCAGACAGGTTGGCGCTGATGGAAGGAGAAGAGGGGCCCGCCCTGAGCAGGTTCAGCTGCTTCTCCCAACCTACCCCACCTCAATAAGGACTTCACTTCTTTTCCCTGGGGGCAGCAGAGCGACAGGAGTGGTGCTTCCTTCAAGAGGAGGGAAGCAGGAAGCCAGGGACAGGGCCATCCCCCCTGCTGCCTCTCACAGGGACACCTGGGCTGACCTACTGTCTTTTCCTCAGGGCACTTGCGTAAGCTGTTCCCTGGTGTACTGGAGCAAATGTCCTCCCAACTCGGAGCGCACAGTGAGTGTGACAGCGTTGTGAAACCACGTGGTTCTCAATGGTCTACCTTTCTTCTTTAAAATATATTAACTGGGGTGGGGGAGGAGGAAAGGGGAGTGACAGTAGTCGAAATCTCCCTGGGGGGGGGACACACCTCATCAACAAGTGTACCTGCACGATGAATATTTGCGTACCCGACCCTGAATTGTGCTCCACAATTTCAAAACAAAAAAATTTATAGCCGGGCTTGGTGGCTCAGCCTGTAATCCCAGGGCTTTGGGAGGCTGAGATGAGTGGATTGCCTGAGCCCGCGGGTTCGAGACCCGCCTGGGCAACTTGGCGAGACTTTATCTCTACAATAAATCAAAAATTAGCCGGGCGTGGTCGTGCACACCTGTAGTTCCAGCTACTCGGACGGCTGAGGCGGAAGGATAGCCAGAGCCCAGCAGGTCGAGGCTGCGGTGGCCGGGAGCAGCCACTGCACTCCACTCTGGGCGACTGAATGAGACTCCAACTCAACAAAAAAAAATTAATAAGTTAAAAAAATAAACAATAAAATATATTAACTGCAGCTGGGGTAATAGAAGATGTGCTCTCAGCCTGCTACCTGGGGATGGTCGAAAGAGAGCCCGCAGGCCTGTGTTGGCGTATCTGTTCATTGACCCAAGCCAAGTTGTTCAACTTTTTTACTCTAATTTTCTTCACCTGTAATAGTAATAATACTAGGATTAATGTAGATAAAGGTGCACAACCAATACCTAAATTGAATAGCCACTCAGAAAAGGTCCCTCCCTACTTTCCTTCTCAAATAAAAGCCAGTGTTTGCATTTGCTCTTCCTACTCAGCCTTCTGGACAGAAATACAAGAGACATCAGGAAAATGATACTGGAGCTATCGGCAACATGTGTGGATAGAGGATGTAATCATACATCACACAGAGTGCTTGGTTTCAGGGGCATAGGGCCGAGCAAGATATCGTTTTGTTGTTTTCGTCTTGAAACATTCCATCTCAAAAGGAAAACAGACAGCCGTACAGTGATCTATAACTCATATACCAAGTACTTTATTGGTGGCAAAAAGCAAAGTGCTCCAAGGTGCAAGTGATGACAGAAATTTCTGCTTGTAAGTTCATAATAAGAAAGAACTTTCCAACCCGAAGTTTTATGAAACGCTAGACTTGGTCATTACGGAAGGCGATGCTCTCTTTACTGTAATCCTAATGCTCTAGTAATCATTAAAATCAAAGAGGCACAGGTGCTCGGACATGTATTTTGCTGAGTGACGCCATCACCCCAGGTCCTTGAGGGTGCTGCCAAGCAGGGAGGGGGAGAGGAAGGCGAAGATGAGACCCCGCCACCTGGTGTCACCGCGACTGCTGTGTGCCAAATGCTGTTCTCCTGCTCCGTGTAGCAGTCCCACAGGCAGGCGGACGAGCGTCCTCACCACATGACCGGGAAACTAAGGCGAGGAAACACAGCGTGCCTCACGCAAGGTCACTCCTCCCACGATCCTATGACCCTCACCTGGTTCATTCTCCTGAGACCCAGCAAGAGGACTGTGGTGTCCCCTTCTCAGTGACCTCAGAATTCCTTTATACACCTAAGATTGTAGGATTCTGCAGCCTAGGAAGGTCTCATTGCTCTCTTCTTGAGCAACAGCCTGCGGTGAAGGGGTGAGTCTGACATACAAAAGTGGTTATCTAATGCAAAATTAGAGCCAGGCACTAAATTCTTCTAGCAAAACTTGACATCAGCATTATTGTCACACTTCACAGATTAGGCTTCGGAGGCCCACAGAGACTATATGACTTGCTCATGTGATAAGACCCAGCCTGTGGACCTGATACTAGCAATATTTCTTAGAAAAAATGATTTAACCTGTCTGGGCCTCAGTGTCCATATCTGTAGAAGACATGAAGAACACCCAGATGGAGCTGAAGGTTGATGAACTCATACATGGGATGGGTCTGGCCCATAAGGAACCTTCAGTAAATGGTCGTTCTAGATCCTTACTAGTGGGCCTTGGTGGCTGGAGAGTGTAAGGACGACTCTTCATCTGCCCCCACTCCTAAAAGAAACACTCAGCCCGTCGCTATTTTGTTTGGTGGATCTTTCCACAAAGCAGAGATAGACTCTTCACTGGCTCTGAAATTTCTCTACAGGAGTTTAGGGATGGCTGTAGATCTGAAAGGGAGTCCAGGCCAACCCAGAGTGAATAGAAAGTGTTTTCTGATCAATTAGAGATGTCTGCCATGGTGTGACAGGCCACAGACTATGCAACCCAGGCCTGTATCTTCCCAACAAGGCAACAACCTAAAGAGGGTGTCTGAGTTCTGACTTGGACTCAAGTGTGCCGGTAGATCCAGCCTCTTTCCTGCCATCAGTGGTGAGAAGAAGTAGACCAGCACGTGTTTGTCGAGGCTGAGTAATGCCAAGGCCCTTGGAGTGCAGACACGATGCTTCCCCCCTTGGCTTTCTTCCAGGCACTCTTCACACACAGATGTATCTACAGGACAAGGACCATGAAAAGCGGCTGTGCCCGGTACTGTAATGCCACCGTGCAGGTGAGGCGTGTGTGACAGGCAGTCCCAGGGCCGTGCTCTTGGGCTCCAGGGTCTGTGTAGTCACAGGTGGCCCATGGGATGTTGGTGGTGTCTTCTTGCAGGGGAAAAGGTGGATTCTCTACACAGTGGCCGGGCCACACCTTCCCTGCATCACACCCTCCCGTGGTTCCCCCTTAACACAGAGCCCACGCTGAACACTTCACCCATGTGGCCCGCCCTCCCCCCCTGCTCTCACCTGCCTCTTGCCCTCATGCCTACCTCAGAGCATGCAATTGTCAGTCCCTTCCTCCAAACGCTCTTCCAGGTTTCCTTGCTGCTGACTCATCTTCCAATTCTGCATTAACTGTCACCGCTTCTGTCACCACCCAAACCACAGTGCCCCCGAATTCTGGCCCTACCTACAACTGCTGTACTATAGCTCTTGTTTTCCTAGCATTTACCATTCTCTAAAATGACTTCTTTTTTTTTTTAAGTGGACTTGTCAACTCTTCCCCAACTTAGAATGTTGGCTCTGAGTGTGAGTTTCCACTGTCCATGTTGGAGCCAGGCTGGCACCACGGGAGGGGCCCCATAGATCTGTGGTGACCAGATGACTGGGTACTAGTCATGCCATCATCTGTCAAAGCAAAAGTTCACAAAGAAGGGCTAACACGGTTTATTATAATCTTGAAAATTAAAAAGCATCTCCTCCGAGACATCGGCGTGGTACTTAGGGTTTCAAAGGACAACCAATGTGCCTTTTGTTTCTCAGATCCCAAAGTGCTGCAAAGGCTTCTACGGGCCCGATTGCAGCCAGTGTCCAGGAGGCTTCTCGAATCCATGCTCAGGAAATGGACAGGTGAGAAGGACAGTCCCTGATACACACTTTTTCAGGAATGCTAATGGTTGACCTTTCTCAAGTAGAGCAGTAATTTTTCAAACCTCTAAATCAAAAAATGATACAATGCCAGCCACTATTCCCAGGAAGGAAAAAAAAAAAACCATCAGTTCCTGATAGAACAGGCGTCTCAGTAGAAGGAATCTTGATATGGAGACAGGGAGGTAGAGAGAGAAAGAGTCCTGTCATGTTTCATGTTGCTTCCAGTCTCTCCTTCTTAATTGCTGACTGTGAGACCTTGGACTCAACAAGGCTCCTGGGCCTCCCTTTCTTCTTGTGGGAGATGTCAGGGTTGACCTGCCTTGCTCTCCAAGCCTTTTTTCAGGACTAAGATTTTATGAAACTTAAAGTGGGGGAGGGGAAGCCCTGCCAAGTGATTGCTTTTTTTTTTTTGAGTAGGTGTCTCACTCTGTTGCCCAGGCTGGAGTGCAGTTGCATAATCATGACAATCACAGCTCACAGCAGCCTACAGGGTCTCGCCATGCTGCCTAGGCTGCTCATGAACTCCTGGGCTCCAGCAATCCTCCTGCCTCAACCTTCCAAAGTGCTGGGATGACGGACACGAGCCACCACCCACAGCCTAGCGATTGCATTTTTGAACCGATCTGCAATACTTAGTAAGATGTAAAGGCCAAAATTTCATTCATCTAGCTTGAAGGTCAAAGCTAAGCAAATGAAGGCAAAAAGCAGTTGTGATTCCCATGAGGAAATTACTGATCTGTGTGTTTCATAAATCCACATCTACAAGATGGCTCTTTCCAGGAAAAAGAAAACCTGCACAGCCCTCCGTGGGGATACCATGTAATAAGAGAACAGGGGGAGGTCAGTGCTATTGGGCAGAGGCTGGGAAGGTAACCACAGTCAATGCTGATAGCACTCTACCTGATGCCAACACACCTCTGCTTTCCTCAAGGAGTCTCAAAGATTCCTTTCAAGGGAGAATGAATCTGAGTTCAGGGAAGGCAGGCCCTGAGACGAAATCATCAGGGGCCCCTTCGTCTGTGTGTTTTCCTAACGACCCCGGGGCCTGACTTTGCTCCCAGTGTGTAGACGGCCTCCACGGCAACGGGACATGCATTTGCGAGGATGGCTTCCAAGGCTCCCAGTGTCAGTTCTGCTCTGATCCCAACAAATACGGACCTCGGTGCGACAAAAGTAAGTGGCGCTTCCAGCATTTTCTCCCACCTGTAAGCAAGGCTCCCCCTCGCACCACAGCAGCCTTTGCTGGATTCCCTTGCTGGGGTGTGCTGTAGTCACAGGGCATTTCTTAACCTCTGGTTCTCCAAGGATAGCACATGCCAGAGGCTGGGCCCCACCTGAAGGTTCCTGGTTCAGTAGGCCCAGGTGGGGCCTGAGATTATGCTTTTCTAACAAGCTCCCAGGAGATCCCAGCATTGCTAGTCCAGAGACCACACTTTGGAAATTTTCTCAAGGTTCCTTCACATACACGAAGGGGCAGTGGTAGGTTCTGTACCAAGACACAGATTCATTCAGTACAATTCAGGCTGTTCCTCTATCTGCAACTGTCAGATGAAGATGAGGATAACATTAGTAAGTGCCTTGTAAGGTTAGGGCAGGTCACTGATGGAAAACACTTGCCCTAGAAAAACACCCGTACATAGTAAGTGCCAAAAATATGCTCTTGTATGTAATAATAAGCTATTATTATCTATCATTGCTGTTGCTGAAAATTCTAGGTATAGGGACATACATGTCAGGAAGCATGTAAAACTTGTAGAAAGTTCCACAACAATGGGCATTGAAAAAAATGCAGTTATGCAATCTTAGAAAGTACAATATATACTTTAAATAAATGTATTTATGTGCTTTAAATAAATTTAAATAGAATGCATGATGTGCACATTTGGATAAGTATGTGCATATTTTCAGGTATAAATTTCTAAGCTGACAGCTTGCTGTGAGATCCGACCAACCTAAAGTCCTCATTCTGCCACGTACTGACTGTCTGACCTTAGAAAAAGTCTCTCCACTTCCCCTACTATAATGAAGATAATATTGGGACCTACTTGATAGGTCGTTGACAGGACTGTCTCGGGGCTTTTGTCACAGAGCTTGCACCCAGCAAGTCATCCCCAACCAAAGTAGCTCCTGTGACCTCCCTACTAGCTCCATACCTTCCTTACCAAACACACATCCCTTCCCTCTTACTCTTACTGGCCTCTGATCCGCCAGAGCACAGCAGGGTCAGGGCTGCTGAATCCCATTCCAGTGTTTCTTTTGCCAAATTAGACTTTCAAAGTAGAAGAATTAGGGAATTATTTCAAGGCCGGAGGACGCTGGCATTTGTCTGAGACAGGCGGGGACGTGGAGGCAGGAAGGGGCAGTGGGCAAGACACAGAGTTGTGGGGGAGGGCAGTAGGTGTGGTGGGCAAAACGCTCGGGTGGAGGGTGGGGCAGAGGGGCAGTGGGCAGGATGCAGAGACTGGAGGGGCGTTGGGTTTCATCTCTAAAGCCTCTCATTTGTTCTTGTGGCTGCCCACGGTCCAAGGCAGGGGTCTTGTTTCTTGCAAATTAAGCTCTGCCTAAAATTGTCTGAAAGTCTTTTTTGTTTTCAACCCCGATGCAATCTTGCAGCCTCCTCTCTCAGTGTCTGTCTTCTCTCGCCTGGACATTGGCTCCAAGCACGCCCGCGGTCATTCCTCTCCCATCAGTCCCTTCTGGGACAAAACCCCGGATTCCCTCATTTCCAATTGTATTTCAAATTCCTGCCATCTTCCTCTGAGAATCTTTGTGTCCATTTACCTACGTGCTGGGAGGCTGAGTCATGTGCCCACACACGTTGCAAATCTTTTTTAAATACCAGTCATCAAAAGTGAATGAAACAAGCCGGGCTCGGTGGCTCAGCCTGTCATCCCGCGCCTTTGGGAGGCTGAGGTGAGTGGATTGCCTGAGCCCGCGGGTTCGAGACCCGCCTGGGCAGCGAGACCTCATCTCTACAATAAATCAAAAACTCAGCCGGGCTTGGTAGCGCGCGCCTGTAGTTCCAGCAACTTGGAAGGCTGAGGCGGAAGGATTGCCGGAGCCCAGCAGGTCGAGGCTGCGGTGGCCGGGAGCGGCCACTGCACTCCAGTCTGGGTGACAGAGTGAGACTCCAACTCAATTAAAAAAAAAAGTGAATGAAACAACTGAAGGTGAAAATAATAACAGGGGAGAGCAGGTGTTGGCAGTCCCCAGATGAGGCAGAAATCTGAAGTGGTACATTATGACTTACATGCAAAATCTGGTAGAAAGATTGGAGAAGGCAGTGGGCCACCCAGAGGCAGTATCCCACACCTCTGACATGCACCATGAATACGGAGACAGTCCTTCAAAAGGACCAGCTGCATATGTGCAAGCATCTGACTCGCTGATTGCCAGTCCTATGGCAGAGAACTTGAAGATCAGTAAAGAGATTGGGGGAACCATGCAGAAACATGTGGCGCTGGTCCACACAGGTTTGAAGTTGGAGTGAGCTCTCTGGGTTATAACCTCTCAGTGCCAGCAGCCAGCAGGCAATAAGCTTTCTGATTTACTGGCGCCCATCTCAGAACTGATCCAAGAAGTGATAACCTTTCGGGAGAAGAACCAAGGCAGCAAGTATTCAATCACCTGTCAGTTGGCAGCGAAAGTATCCAGGCCCTGGGCTGGGTGGCTATGGCTCCAAGTCTGGCCCCTATGAAAGAAATGAATGATGCTGCCGTGTTTTATACAAACCGAGTCCTCAGGGAGTACAAAGATGTGGATAAGAAGCACATAGACTGGGTCAAAGCTTACTTGAGTTTATGGACAGAGCTGCAGGCTTGCATTAAGAAGTTCTGTACCACCGGACTCGCCTGGAGCAAAACGGTACCTGCGACAAAAGAACTAAGTGAATTGCCATCTGGACCCTCTGCTGGATCAGGTCCTCCTCTCCCCCACCAGGCCCACCTCTTCCCACAGCCCCCAGCAGTTCAGGCTCCAGTGACTCTGCTTCCCGCTCAGCACTGTTTGCACAGATTAATCAGGGAGAGCATCACACATGCCCTGAAACATGTATCTGATGACAGGAAGACCACAAGAACCCTCCCTAAAGGCTCAGAGTGGTCCAGTATGTGGTGACCCCAAGTCATTTTCTGCATGGAAACCCCAAAAGAACCTGTCCCCCAAGCCAGCTACAAAGAAGGAGCCAGTTCTACTTGCACTGGAGGGCAAGAAGTGGAGAGTGGAAAATCAAGAGAATGTTTCCAACCCGGTGATTAATGACACAGAACTGAAATAGGTGGCTTACATATACAAGCGTGTCAAGACAACATTGCAAATCAAGGGCAAAATTAACTCCATTACAGCAGATAACTGTAAGAAACTTGGTCTGGTATTTGATGATGTGGTGGTCATTGTGGAGATAATCAATAGTAGGGATGTCAAAGTTCAAGTAGAGGGTATTATTTCCATCAACAAAACAGATGGCTGCCACGCTTATCTGAGTAAGAATTCCCTGGATTGTGAAATAGCGCCAAATCTCTTGAGGTGAACGCCCTCATTCCTACAGAAGGCAGTGACTTTAATGAGTTTCCAGTTGCTGAGCAGTTCAAGATCCTATGAAATGGGCGAAGCTGGTCACCATAGTGACAGAAATTGCTAGATAAGTGAAGTGCCACTGGGTTCTTTGCCCTCCCTTCACACCATGGGATAAATCTGTATCAAGACAGTTCTTTTCTAGATTTCCTCTTTCTGCTCTTAAACTGCTTCTCTGTTCTGAGAAGCACAACTACCTTCCTTCATTGAAATATACCTCAGGCTGAGATTTGGAGTGGGATAGCAGGTCAGTTGATCTTCAGCAGGAAGGTGCAACTTTTCTTTTCTTTCTTTCTTTCTTTTTTTTTTTTGAGTTGGTGTCTCACTCCATCACCCAGGCTGAAGTGCAGTGGCATGCCCACGGCCACCCCAGCATTGACCCACTGGGCTCTGGCGATCCTTCTGCCTCAGCCTTCCAAGTAGCCGGGGGAACTACAGGTGCATGCTACCATACCCAGTTACTTTTAGATTTATTGTAGAGACGACGTCTCGCCAAGTTGCCTGGGCTGGTCTCAAACCTGCAGGGTCAGGCAATCCACTTGCCTCGGCCTCCCAAAGTGCTGGGATTACAGACTGAGCCACCAAGCTCAGCCAAGTTTTCCATATCAGCTCAACCATACCGCCAGTCCATTCTTAAGGAACTACAGACCCGGACTGGTGCATTTTAGCTTTCAGCTTTGGGAGTAATTCTACCCACAGTCCTTTGGGAAATAGTCCCAGGAATTAACAGATCAGAATGTTCGAAATAATCTTTTTCTAACAGTAAGTATGAAGGTAGCAGAAACTGGTGTGATTCCAGATGGTTCCTCTAACCTAACTAATTTTTTTAGTGTTGATAAGCAAGGCAAGGGTTGCACTGGACCAAAGGCTGAGGCTTGGCCATCTAGCGTTCTAAGCAAAACTGTTTCCCATAAACATTCCTTTTATTCTGCGTTTCATCCTGGGTCTGCCTGTACCACGAGATAGGAGGTTCTCTGGTACCAGCTGCTGTAGCAGTGCCCCTTTTATCCAAGTTAAAGGAGTCTTAGACCTTTCTCTCTCTGGGATTCTTGCCTAGCACCTTCCTTCAGAGATGATTTTAAAAGAAAAACAACACACCATTCCAAGGAGTCTAGCATTCCTTTCTCCTTCCCTGCTTGGTGCCTGTCACCCATCTTCACTGCCTCCTTTTCCCTGTCATGCCTGGAGAACGAAACTCTCCACTGCAGGCTGGTTTTAGGTCTTGATTTATGTAAGAATCTTGCACAGCATTGCTAATGTCAATTTCAGTTTATTCCCTCTAGGACAAACACTTACCAAAATATGTAACTTTTTGGTGGGAAAAGAGATTGTCCTGTGACTTCTACCCTTCTGCCTGTGGAAATAAATCTTTATATACTTAAAGTTATACAGAAAATAGAATAAAGTTAATACCAAAAAAAAAAAAAAAACCCCAGAAAATGGTAGCAGGTGTGGAAATGCCAGTTAATATAACGATCTGCTGTGTTTACACTCAGGCATTCACAGAAATGGACTTGGAAACCCAGGTTCAAGTCTCTACTTGGGAACTTAGTGGCAAGTTGGACGGTTTGCTTCACCTCTCTGGGTTTCAGTTTCCTCATCTGGAAAATGGGGGTTATAAAAGTACCTAGACCAGGTGCAGCAACTCACACTTAGAACCCAACACTTAGGAATGCTGAGGTGGGAGAATTACTTGAATCCAGGAATTCGAGACCAGCCTGGGCAGCATAGCAAAACCTGGTCTCTACGAACATAAAAGAGAAAAATAAAAAAATTAACCGGGTACAGTGGTGGGTGCCTGTAGTTCCAGCTACTTGGGATGCTGAGGTGGAAGGATAGCCTAAGTCCAGGAGGTGAAGCCTGCTGTGAGCCGTGATCATCATAATTTTGCCACTGCATTCCAGCCTGGGTGACAGAGTGAGACCCTGACTCCAAAAAAAAAAAAAAGAAAAGTTCCTGCCTTCTGGGATCGACCTGCTGGGCCCCAGCGATCCTTCTGCCTCAGCCTTCCAAGTAGCCGGAACTACAGACGTGTGCTACCATGCCCGGCTAATTTTTTATGTATTGTAGAGATGAGGTTTTGCCAAGTTGCCCGGGCTGGTCTCGAACCTGTGGGCTCAGGCTGTCCATTCGCCTCGGCCTCCCTACATCCTAGGATTATAGGCTGAGCCACCGAGTCTAGCCAGACTGGTGAGTTTTAATGTTGTGTGTGAAAGGCTGACCCAGTGCCTCAGATGGAGCCAATGCCCAGATGACACCCATTAGTTATCTTTTTTTTTTTTTGAGTTGGAGTCTCACTCTGTCACCCAGGCTGGAGGGCAGTGGCACGCTCCCGGCCACCGCAGCCTTGACCTGCTGGGCTCCGGCGATCCTTCCGCCTCAGCCTTCCAAGTAGCCAGAACTACAGGCGCGCACTACCACACCTGACTAATTTTTTATTTATTGTAGAGACGAGGTCTCGCCAAGTTGCCCAGGGAAGGTCGCAAGCCTACTGGCTCAGGTGACACCCATTAGTTATCATTGGTTTGCTGCGACAGAGAGTTAAAACAAACACGCACTGGGCATCGGGGCCCTGCCAGGGTGAGAAATCTCTTCTGTTTATTCCAGAATATCTTCATGAAAGACGAGAAACTTCCAGGCTAAACTCTCCATCATGAGATGGTTGAAAATGGAGATCCTTGGCCTTTTTTTTTTTGAGTTGGAGTCTCACTCTGTCGCCCAGACTGGAGGGCAGTGGCCGCTCCCAGCCACCGCAGCCTCGACCTGCTGGGCTCCGGTGATCCTTCCGCCTCAGCCTTCCGAGTAACCAGAATTACAGGCACGCGCTACCACGCCCGGCTGATTTTTTTATTTTATTGTAGAGATGAGGTCTCACCTGCCCAGGCGGGTCTCGAACCTGCGGGCTCAGGTGATCCACTCACCTCAGCCTCCCAAAGGCGCGGGATGACAGGCTGAGCCACCGAGCCCAGCTTGATCCTTGGCCTCTGGCGGTGCATCTTATCTTCCTCCCACACCCACACACATCTAGAGGGACCCTGGGACCCACCCCTCCTCTTGGGTAGGACAGTCAAGCTGGCCAAGGGCCATCCCAAGCACTCTGAGGAACGCTCGAGGTCCCGGGAGGTGCAGCCTGAGTCTTCCTGCAGCACAGCCCCAGGCTGAGTGATGAGGGGCAGCCGGGGGGGTCCCTGTCCTCCAGGATGCTTGGGCTCCATGCTCAGCCTGTTTCCCAGGCCGTGAGCACCCCTCTTCCCTCTCTTTCAGAATGTCTGTGCATTCACGGGACGTGCGACAACAGGATAGACAGCGACGGGGCCTGCCTCACGGGCACGTGCAGAGACGGCTCGGCGGGGAGATTCTGTGACAAGCAGCCCTCAGCCTGTGGGCCCTTCGTGCAGTTCTGTCACATCCATGCCACCTGTGAATACGGCAATGGGACAGCTAGGTGGGTCTGTGAGGAGACGCTGATGACACACAACTCCTGTGCTAACCCAAGATGGAGCTAACCCACAGCTAAGGCCTGTTCTCTCCAGCTGGCAGTGTGAGTTTTGTGGAAGGACCTCGGTCTGAGCTAGTTCAAACTGCTTTGAAACTTTGAGCAAATGGCTTCATCTCTCTGAACCTCACTGTCCTCAATAGTACAAGAAAGAGGATGTCACACACCTAGCAGGGCAGTGGTGGAGATCAGAGAACTGAATGTAAAATCACCCAGCACTAAGGCTAGCACGTCATTGGTATTCCATCATGGAAACTATAATTATATCACACGTCAAGGGAATTATTTGTCCACCAACTCTCCAACCTTTGAAAACGCCTTTACTTCCTAAGGCTGTTCATAGCAGCTCCCTTGTTAAAGGCATCTTGCAGGAAACTAGGTCTTCAGTCAGTAGATTGCCATGTTTCCCTAAACTGTCTAACATTCTGCAGTGGGTTTGAGGGAGAAGAATGCCAGAGGGAATATTCCTCTCCAGGAATATCTGGTTCAAGGGCAGTGAAATACCCCATGAAAACAGAGGATGTCTGGAATTCTCGGTCCTATGTTTACACCACTTTTCTTAATTTGTATTTGCAAAGTAATTTACTTACTTGTTTCAGTCTGTCTCCCCCACTAGACTAGAGTGTAGGCTGCATGAGGCCAGGGCCAAGGCCTCCTCTTCTCCACAGTTGTACAATAGAAACCATCTCCATAAGGAGTTAGGATCAACATCAGTGCATGAGGCAAAAAACCACAAGAAATCAAAATCACCCTTAAAAGCTCCTAAACCATCCACAGGGGACGGTCCACTGGGGACTGCATGTACTATAGTACTTTAGACAAGTCAAGTTGCATGGAAATACATCAACCTATTCCTTCATTAGGGCTACAGCCAACATATTTTGTTCCTGTAGGCCACTTGAACCGTGAACAATATTTATTTTAATTTTTGTGAAGCATGTATGACTGAATTTGCAGGTGAGGGTGTGACTGGGCCACACAGTGTCCCCAGCGTCTACACAGGGCACTCAATTAAAATTTTGGTTGAACATATGAGTGAATAGCCCACATTTAATAGTGAAACTATCCCATGTATCATTTTGAGAGGAGTATCTGAAGAATAATGGGTCAGGAAACTAAGCCAGCACACAGAATAAGACATCTGAGAACGCTGTGTCTGGGAATACATATGTATAGATACAAATATCAATTCACAGGTCGAGAAGGGAAGCGGAAAAGACTCATCTGACTGTCATTTTCAAATATTTTAAGAACCGTCATACGGAAGAAAGGGTAGACCTGTTTTCTGCTGAACCAGAGGTCAGAGCTAGCATTTCTCAACAGTTATAAAGAGGCAGGTTGTGGTTCCCATAGGAGTGGAAACTGCCAGTATAAGTCATGGAATCCCAGTGCTCTGCTCAATGCTCCTGGTGCATTCGCTCACTTAATCTTCACCCCAGTCTCATGCAGGAGGTAGTAGATCCATTTTGCAGATGAGGAAACAAAGTCTCCCAGTTGTTAAGGGACACATGCGAGGTCCACAACTTCTAAGAGTTGGGACCCGGATTCCCCCTCAGTTGTGTCTGACTACAGATCCTGAAAGTCCCCCTGAACACTGGCTTCTTCCACAAGAGCAAGCCATCAAGCCACCAAGCCGTGAGCCGGCCTGCTGTCACGGCCTGGCCCTCTTCCAGGTGGTCAGTGCTTATCTTCTGGGGCTGACGGCTGCGCTCTTCTTTGCAGCTGCATTTGCAAAGCAGGCTATGAAGGAGACGGGACTGTGTGTTCAGAGATGGACCCCTGCACAGGATCGACCTCAGGAGGCTGTAGCCGCAACGTGAGTGCTGGTCTTTGCTTCCAAGTCACCTGAGCTCTTTTTGGAAGTCCTGAGGGAAGGCATTCCACCAGGCCCTGTCGATCACTTTTCATGTGCATGAAACCCTTGTGCTTGAACCTTGAATTTTGCAGACCGCTGCCAGCTGCCAGGCGCTGTTCGTGAGCCTCCACTTTTTTTAAAATTTATTATAGATATGTGGGGTACAATTCAGGGTTAGGTATATAAACATTGATCATGCAGGTACCCTTGTGGATGAGGTATGCCCCTCCCTCCCCTAGCAGTT